GGCTAGACCGTCCAAATTCACAGCCTCTTTTTTTCCGGTCTTCCCGGTCTACCAAGGACCCGGCCCTCCGAGACCGGGGAGTCTGGGTCCTCCGGAGGACCCGGCCTGTCGTTTTGGACACAGCCAATCACTATCAAACCAATACTGCTTGACCAAACATTTCCATTCTTGAAACTGAAACACAAATGGTAACAAGTGGGAAATCAATATCGGACGTTAACATCAGTCCATTTTTACTTAATCGGACCAATACCGACATGCTAAAATGACCAACATTGGTTGATACCAATGTTAATGCCAATATATCATGCATCCCTAAATTGGTGTTGTTGCATTTTTTCGCAGTGTTTAAGTAATTTCAACAAGGAAATGTAGGATTTAAGTATTTGTTTTTGCTACTTTCAAGGTCAGAAGCTAAAAAATTTGGGAACCACTGGTCTACACCACTGAGTCTGGAAAAGACGAGAAAATAAATCCTCTTAGGGCATGCAGGGCAGCAGGCACCTATGTTCTCATCACACAAACACTTCAAACAGCCAAGGCATGACAGAAGAAAAAAGGAATGAAAGAGAGATGAGACAACTAAAGATGATCGACAAAAACAACCGGGTTTATTATCAATTGTATGGCCTAAAAACCCAAGATTAAAACCTGTCTTTAGGAAAACAAGTCTAAAAAAAAAAAAACCAAAACCCAGTTTGTGCCATTAAACTAAACTAGTTAGTTCACAGCTTATTTCCTCAGTGAGTTTTATCTTCCTGAAAAAAAAAAGCCCATGTTACTCTGCAGTAGGGTTGGGCATAACCGTATCGTGTGCAATTAATCGTCAGAAAAACACTAATCGATTACTTTTTGGCACTTGTTAATAGGATTAATGCCACCAGGCAGAGTCCGCTCGTTGCTCCTCTCTGCTTCAAATATGATGAACATTAAAAAATAAAAGTTCTGTAATTTATTTATCTATCAACACAATTTAAAATTTGATGTATAGCCTGAAGTCTGTAATTTTGACACAGTTTGGAACAGATTTGTATGAAGAGTAAATCTTTTCCCACTAAATTTGTCATGTGACCAGGACATGAGGATATCCAAGGGATTAAACGTCAAATTAATCGTTATCAGCTAAATACCACAATTAATCGTGATTAATTTTTTTGCAATGTTGCCCAACCCTACTCTGCAGAGGACAAAATCAGGACCACTTACTTGCTTTAATCAACCAAAATGCTCCTTTGAATATGAGCTTAATTACCTTTAATAACAAGTTATATAAGAAAACATGAGCTGATGACTAAAGAAAGCTTAGACACTCCTGTAGGCATTGATCTACAGGTTGAAACTTAAACAGCTAAACAGAAATAGTCACATATGCCAACCACTCTCAAACCCAAACCAAACTCTCATCAAAAATAAATAAATAAACAAATAAATAAATAAATAAATGAAAGAAAAGAAATTGATGCAAAGCTTTGAATTTTTGCACATTTGCAGGTGACCAAGCCCAACATCGAAATTGACTTTAATGTAGAATAAAAACAAACAAATCTATGCATCTGTATAGGGTGTGTTTTAGGAGTTTCACATTATTGTTTTAAGCAAATGGAGAACAGCTGCTCACCTAAACATAACTGAGGCAAACACATTTGAAATATTATTCATTAGGAGAATGGCACCATGAGGCTCACTCAGGTGTGCTGTTAATAGCTGAAAGTGAATCTAATCCCATCACAGTCTACGTTACATCCTGGTTTTAAAACCCCACAAGGATTAGTTTACATCCTGTAGGCTTTCACAAATGCCTGGCAGATGTGGCGTCATGTGTAATCACTTGTTGAAAAGTGAAAATATCCCCCCTACACTGAATGTAGACAGTCTACTACAGTTGGAACAGGGTTTACATTTATTGCTTGTGACTTATCAAGCCATGTTTTGGCTGTCAGAGCATAAGCACTGCAGAAGCTTTATCACCACTTGCCTCCTACATTTACATTTCCATCGGATTTTTGATAAGCTACACCTCCTGAAGCTTGGGGGAAAACCCATGCAAAATATAGTACATACATGTGTGGCTCCATCAAGAGTAGTGTGTTAAGACTTGTGATACGTTACACAGTGAATACAAAATTCTCAAAATACAGCATAAAATTTCTACATAAACAACGTTTAAGCTGCCTGAGATTTTCAAACAACCTTTTTCCACATGTTTAACACTTCCTATACAAATTTATATTGAAGTACAAGTATTTTGTTATCTTTCACCCAGTGTGAGAGATCACCAGTGTACAACACAGATTTTTTTATTATTATTTTTTTTTATTTGGGAAAATGCTTTTCTTTCAGGCTGCTTCCTTATGCTGACATTGCCACAGTGAGCAAACTTGTATGACAGATTTGGCAATAGGCCTGTCGCGATAAGCAATAAATCAATTAATCGCACCATAAATTATAAAGTGGTTGATCATTTTCATTTGCCAGCTTGTTTTCTTAGTGTCTCCCTCTTTTCTACTTTATAGCATAATCTTTTCTACTTTATAGCATAGCAAAATTTGTCATTGTGACTAGTGCTGGGCGGTATACCGTTTTATACCGAAAACCGGTTTTTATTTTTGTTATGGTATGACTTTTCTGAATACCGGTGTAAATAGCCTGAACACGTGCGGAACGTTTCGTTGTGGCCGCCAGTGAACTGTTTCCCTGGGGACATGTTTCCTTGCAGCACTGCTAAGCACATTAGCATGCTAACGTTATTGTTGGAAAAACTGGCGGCGGGTGGTGTTTTTCAGCAGCTTATATTGTCTGACGAGACTCTAGCGTGCTTCTATTGTGAAAAGCTAAAGGGGGGGGGGGGGTAGTTTTGTAGTGTAGCTGAATTGACTGGTTTACAAGGTGAGTCGTTTTTTTAAGTTTTATTGACACGCAACGATTGACCAGTTAATGATTTTTTCTCAACGCTTCACAATCGGACCTAAATGCATGATTACTGTCTACAACCAGGCAAAGATGAAAAGACGTACATGAGGAGGGCAACAGTGATACAGAGGTACAGTAAAAAAAAGTCTTAAGCAAAGTTTGTACATTTTATTATCAGCTGAGCTGTGAGGGAAAAAATACTGTCAAATACCGTGAAACCGGCGTAATTGTTGAAAATACCATGATATAAAATTTGGGTCATACCGCCCAGCACTAATTGTGACAGGCCTATTTGGCAACTGTTATACGTTGGATGTAGGGGTGGACCGATTGCAGTTTTTACTGATCTTTAAAAATTCTGACCTGCTGATTCAGATTTTTTTTTTAAATAGCTGACACTGTCAGGTGTTATAAGGTCACAATACAGCTTCAATGCTCCCATTAAAAAACACTGAATGCCCTTGAAACAATATAAACTTCTTTTACTGGACAGTAAGTAGTGCTCGCAGCAGAGTAAAAGGGGACAGTGGATGATTTTCAGACATTTGTGGAGGTAGATGGAAGCCAATCTCGTCCACCAATCTTATCAAAGTATCAGATGATTTCCGATCTCCCAAAACTGAGGAAATCTGTGCTGGACGGCCTTCCTCACGCAATCTGGGCTTGAACCATGAGCCTCAGAATTACAAGACCTTAGCACTGACCACAGAGCTACTGTGGCCCTCTTTTGGTACAAGTATTCTAATATAAGAAATTATAATAAACCGTTTCGGGGTTGGATTTAGGGCTGCCACGATTAGTTGACGACTAATCGATGACTAATTTAATAATGGATTAATCTTTTTTTTTGTTCTTTACTTTGTTTTTCTCTCCAAACTGCTTTGACACCTTCCACTGCCACATCTGCCTTTCTGTCCTTGACACGCGCAGTCGTGGTAACTGGGGTAGGCCGTGGACGTCACATTATACAGACAGGCTCTGGTATCATGGCTATCCGGCAACGGAGCTCAAAAATGTGGGATCATTTTAAGAAAATGAAAGAGAAACCTGTGCAATATCTGTAGAGYAGAACTTGCCTTCCATAGCAATTATTTTTAGTTAGCATATAGCTAAAATCTAACCATGGTTATATAATAGCAGCTGCATTGTGGCGCGATAAGCTGTATGTTTTATAGTCCATTAACGTATGATCCGATTAGTCGACTAATYGAAAAATAATCKGTGATTAATCGATTATAAAAATAATCGTTTGTGGCAGCCCTASTTGGATTGATAAAAACTTTTTAATACTGCTCATATCTAATGTAGGTCAATCCCATGACTCAAGCTTCCAGGTTTTATTAGCAAAAAAAGATATGTACACAGCAAGTGTATATTGCTAATTTACTGCAAGTGCCTCATGGTGAGTGTTTAGACTCGGTTTATATTATTTTGGGGGGGCAAATGACTGTCAACATGAATTACTCCACAGGCAACATTTATTATACAGAGTTTTGGACCATTTTGTGTTTAATTTTAAACTGGCAAATATTAAACTACCCTCATGCTCTGTGCTGCTCAGGTGAAAAGGCATGTAGCTCACCCTACCTACTGCGCATGCGCTGAGCTGTACGAGGGACGCATACAGGGCTTTGTTTACATCGAGTGTGGACCTGCATTTCAGAACCTCATTCAATCCATGTAGAAAACCCACTGGAGTAAATTATTTCAAATTGCACCAGATATAGTTCAGGATAACCTTTGCAACCTTTCATAACTTTTGCAATGAGTACCTTAAAAACATGTTTTTTTTTTTATTTGAAATATTTCCAATTAATCATTAGGAGGGGGCTGCAGCTTTCCTATTTGTTTACATGAATGGTAGAGCTCTTTATTACTCACAGGGTGACTGYTCTGTTCGGGAAGGAGTCCGGGGGTAACACCTGTTCGAGCTCCATGTTGCTGCAGACCACCTTCCTGTCGGACTGCGGGCTTTTCCCACCGCCTTTCGGGCGCTCCTCCGACGTTTTGCAGAGGAGCTGTTGCTGCTGCGCCGTGGAGCCTGTCGGCAGCAGCAGCAGTGAAAACACCAACAACTGCAGCCTCATGATCCCCCTCCTCCTCACCATTTACAGGGGGGGGGATATAAATGCGTTTGACGCCCARCAGGGTTAAGCTCAAAGCGAGGGTTTCAAGCCAGAGAAAAACAAAATCTCTGCCGCACGATGAGAGTGTTGCTGCTTGGTTCAAGTGATCCTTCCTCCTCCATTTCTCTCAATCCGACCGAGGTGTCCTCCTCCTTTGTTTGGCAAAACACTCATTTATAATTCCCATTCCACGGTCCTGATAGGGCGGTTTTTATCACTACAACTCTTAACCCCGCAAAAAGCTTAGCCCACTTTAAAATATTGTTGCTTCTTCCTGAACATTCAGCCTCACTTTGTTCAGCTCGTGTCCAGCTCGGACTGTGTTGTGTGTTTCCCACAGGAGGCGGCTGCGCTCATTCCAGGTTATCAGCTCCTAACTTCAGGAAAGGCCTTCTTAGCTCCTTTTTCTTCATTTAACTCCAGAGTASTTTTGGGGAGCGTACTAAACTGCAATAAAAACGCGAGAGCGAGCGCATTATCCGCCGAGCCGTCGCAGGAAATTACTTTCACATGAACTGGGACAACAAAAGAACAACTTTCCGAGCTTCGGACGTGCTTCAAAATCTCAAAAATCCACCAAAAACGCTTGAATCCGTCGCTTGGCCAGTTAGTCTGCGTGAAACTGTGACAGAATCGGTCTAAAAAGCACTTAAAACTAATCTTCGGTACAAAGTTAAGTCCGCTTCTCTCGTTTTGCTGTCCCGGCGGTGTTGTACGGAATTCTGTGATGGTTCCCAGCTGGATTCCAAACCATATCCGGTTTGCTTTTCAAAATAAAACGCGAATCCCTTTGATACCCATCATTTCAGTGGAAGGAAGGAGCTCATTACGAAGTATGAAATAAAAACATAAATAAAATTTAATATTCAGTTATATCATACAGCGCAGTGTGAATGGAAGGAAAGCAAGTAACACCATCCAGCAAATAGTCCCAATTATTTTTAAACAAGTTATACAATATGTATTATTTTACTCTGACAGATTACATTTTCCATTTAGAAACAGTTATTCTGAATCTAAAGCAATTACAAAATTTCCATTTAGCCTTTTAACTTAAAGACAAAAATAACTGCGCACCAGTAAAATATCTCAAACTTTCTGTTTTTGTTTTCCTAGAAAACATAGTCCCAAATTGTTCTGTTAAAGCCGATCTCTCATTTGACTGAGTATCAACTGTTGAGTTTTCTATTTTTTTTTCCTTTTCAGKTAATAAAATATTTTTCAAGCAAAAAAAAAAAAAGTATGTAATGCACAAATCAATCTAAAGTCACCTATACGGCAAAATCCCAGAAATGTCACAAAAAGTGACTTCCTCACCAGGAGGTGAACATTAGAGCCGTTCTTCCTCCGTGTGGGTTAAAAATGTTCATGCAACCTGAGATATAAATAATAACGTCTCCCCGACCCACCCATGTCCATTTCATTTCTTTTTCAGTGTTTCAAGTGGATTTTCAAAAAGGACATTACACACAGATTTTGTTTTTAGATAAAACATACAGAACACTTTTTAAATCTTACTGATCGAACAGTGCTCCTAAAGCACCAAAAATGTCGTTTGTACAAAAGGTTGTTTTTGTTTGTTTGTTTGTTTGTTTGTTTTGATGTGTAGTAAGCAGAACAGCTGTATTTAGAAAAATGTTTACGTTATTTGTTGCAGTAATGTAGTTCTAATATTTCAACAAGACTATTATTATTATTATTATTATTATTATTATTATTATTATTATTATGCAAACCCACTGAAAACAAATTACCTGAAATCTCATTTAAAAACATCTGTAGATTTTGCCCATTAACATCAATGTAATTCAGTGACAAAAAAAAGCTAATGAGTAGTGTCCCATTGGCTAAAGCGCACCACATGACATTTAAGCCACGCCCAGGAGGAGGTAAACCTGAGTCGTGCGCTGTTTGAACTGTTCAAGCACAAACTTAGCATTTTGATAAGATAAGTCGTGCAGGGCTGGCTGTTCGAGCGCTTTAAGCTTGTAAAACATGTTTCCTTCTGACTTTGCTTGGGGAGCATCAACTTCCGCGTATCAAATAGAAGGTAAACAGACTGAATACTTAATTGGAAACACATTTAGCAGCTACTGTTTTGTCTGTAGGCCTCCATTATTGTAACTACTGCAGCATTCATGCAAGCATTTAAAGGACACTAATGTGATTCATGCAGTGTAGATGTGACCATAGATGCATTTTATTTTAATCTGCAGTTTTTATGTTCTCAAATTGAGCAACTTGTTTGTTTTGGTTCAGGTGGATGGCAGGCAGATGGAAAAGGACCGAGCATCTGGGACACATTTAGTCATGAGAAAGGAAGAGTGTTTGAGGATCAGAATGGAGATGTGGCCTGTAACAGCTACGAGTTGTGGGAGAAGGACCTGGAGTGTATCCAACAACTTGGACTGACCCACTACCGCCTGTCTTTCTCCTGGGCCCGCCTCTTACCTGATGGAACCACACGGAACRTCAATCAAAAAGGTATTTCCTTCAAACACACTACATTTTTCATACGTTTTTTTCAGTCTAAATTCTTTATAGGCTAGTTTACATTTTCTCTAGTTTCAATGTATTTGACAACTCACAAAAAAGACAATGTTGCATGTTAGAACAATGCCATAATTGCTTTGCACACACTATAGATTACACTATAGATTATGTAAACTTGGGTTTTCTATGATTTTTCTTGTTATTTGATCTTCTCACTGTCTCAACAGGTGTGCAATACTATAACCGAGTGATTGATGACCTGCTGGCCTGTAATGTGTCACCAATGGTCACTTTGTACCACTTTGACTTACCTCAAGCTCTGGATGACCTGGGAGGCTGGAAGTCACCTGAGATGGCAACACTTTTTGACCAATACGCCACATTTTGTTTCAAGACGTTTGGGGATCGGGTCAAACTCTGGATCACAATCAACGAGCCGCTCGTATGTGCCAAAGAAGGCTACGAAGACGGTATCCATGCTCCGGGGTTGGAAGAAAAAGGCATAGCTGCCTACGTGGTGGGGCACAACATGCTGCGAGCTCACGCCATGGCGTGGCACAGCTACGACTCGGAGTACAGAGCCATGCAGAAGGGTGCGGTGTCTTTGGCCCTCAACAGCGACTGGTTTGAGCCTTTAAATCCCGACTGTACTGAGGACGTCGCTGCTACGGAACGGGATCTTGCGTTCTCGCTGGGGTGGTTCGCCTGGCCCGTGTTCGTCACTGGAGATTACCCAGAAATGATGAGGCGCGCCATTGAAAGTCGAAGCAAGGAGGTGGGATACATTGGTCCCCCGAGACTTCCCACATTCTCAAACGATGATCCGACCATTCTGGGAACAGCCGACTTCTTCGCACTGAACTACTACACGTCCCGAAAAGTCAAAGCGGGGGAAGAAGGCGAGAAAATGTTGAGTATGATGAGTGACAAAGATGCAAAGGAGATTATAGATCCATCCTGGCCCATTTGTGGTGTGTCCTGGCTGGCTGTAGTGCCCTATGGCTTAAGGAAACTATTGAAATATATAAAGGTAAACCATAAGACTTTTTTCTTTTCTATTTGATTATTCTAAAGCAGTGGTTCTTTACGTTTTGATTATCCTAAAGCAGTGGTCCTTTAATCCTGGTCCTTGAGGACCACTATTCAGCATGTTTTAGTTGTTTCCCTGCTCCTGACTTTGTCTACATTCGGGGAGTATTTTACCAACTAAATATCAGTTGAGAGCTGAGACTTTCTGAAGTGTACAAATGTAATGTTTGATGTAAACAAATGACTCGTAATTGTTGGCAACAAAACATGACACTGCTAGTTTTGCTCCCCCTTTTTTTTTTTTTTTTACAAATTATGTATTTGGTAGTGAATAATACACATTCAGTTTTTTTTTCTTTATCATAGATGATACAGAAATAAAAACATTTCAAACCAAAAACCACCGAAAACTGCTGTTATGCTGTAAGAAAATTCGTATTCAATAAACTGAAGTCGATATAATAAACACAAATGTTAAATAAAACGATTTGTAGGAGGAATGAAAACCATACAACACCAGAATTCTGGAATCGAGTGGGGTTTATTACTGAGCCTGCAGACAGGAAACCCACACTGTCCGAAAACCAGGAAGTTCCTGTATTTATACAAGTTCTTCCATGCCTGCGCTCGCCCCCTACTGACCTACGGCTGAATCACAGGCATTCAGACAAAATCCTCAGCCAATGTTATTCCACCGTTTAATTATGTGTTGTAACAGATGTTTCGGACATGTAACTATACCTATTTTAATCAAAACACAATAGATTAAACACTGTCAATGTTACAACAAGGAGAACTTAAGAATATAGTGTTGTGCTTTTAAAATTAGTACTAATCTTCCTAATTTTTAATTTCTTCACAATGCCTTCTAAAGGACAGTCTGGTCATTTTTGAAGTGAGGTTCTATCACTAATCCTGAGTACCTCATCAGCCTTGACATCAGTCACTGAAGACTGAAGGTAATAAGATTTTGTCCAGGCTAAGTGAAAGGCTAGCCAAACAAGGGCTAATTGTATACGGTATTCAGGCTTATAAATCCGCTTATTCTCAAAAACAACCAAAACGCTACATTTTGCCATCATTAAATCTGTACACGGTTGCCAGACATCATTTGAATAGTTTGCTACTGTTTTAGAACCACCCAATCTGTTACAAATGCATTTGTGCTGAACAGACCATGGCACGTTCAGGTCTACAATGTGCTGACGGTGTTGAATCTATCAGCCCCCCTTATCTTTACGTCTAGTCTGTCCAAAGGTTTACAACTCATGGAGGACTGATACACAGAGAAGCCTCTCGGCTTGTAACAAAAATAAAATAAAATAAAAAATGCTGAGCATGCATACATTTGCATAGTAACACAGACTTTGTTCGACTGATAAACAAAAGGAAAAAAATTATTTTCTGTCTGAGCGTTCTTTTACACTAGTGTAATGATGTTGGTCTTTATTTGGCTAACTCTTAGCCTAGCCTCGACTAAGCCTTATGCCCACTCTCTGTACTCTACGACTAATGGTTTAGCTGATAAGAACTATTGATACCCKTTGGAAGGAACGTCACTTTGATACTGACCAGACTATCCTCTAAAAGACTATTTTTTTTTGTTTTCTTTCCTCTTCCTCAGGATAGACAACTTTCAGCCAAACAAACAGAACCTGTCTGGCCTTAGTCTTTCCATTTATTTTATTTGCAGTAATCCATTGTAGACACCTTTTTTAGAAACACACTGATGCATCATTAGCTCTGTCACTTTGTATGAAACAGTTACTTTGTCAAAAAAAAGTGTTTGCAAACAAGCCATTTCCTCCCATTGTAACTTGCCGCGGTCCATTAGTTTGTGTCTAGCACCGTTAAAATACAGCTAAATGGAACGTTGTGGACCAATCTGTCTCTCCTCTGAATTGTCTGACAACCATGATGCCCTGTTTGACGAAAACATTTCCCTGTGTGACTTTCTAGGACACCTTCAAYGACCCAACGGTCTACATTACAGAGAATGGCTTCTCTCAGATGGGGCCTGTGCAGATGGAGGATGTTCAGCGTTGTGAGTTTTTCAGCAGCACCATCTTGGAAGTGGCTAAAGGTATTTAGAGAAACGAAAAATTATTTTAAATCGATATGACCTGAGAAATGTTTCTAAATGGGTAGAGAGAAGCACTTGTGCGAATGCTTAAATTTTTCGTCTTCGTTTTTTGGCACGTATATCATTCTGCAATTAGTTGTGCTGTTTCAACAATTTCTGTATCAAAACATTCRGCTCCATCAAGACATTCCTGCTATGACTCGTGGCACTTCAGCAATGTATACTTTTTTTGTGACCTTTAGCTTTTTTGGCCACGTTTTTGTCATTGAAAATGAACGGAACTGTCTTCAACGTTCGTTAAAACTTTTCAAAATGTTCATAAGTCTTTATTGTACTTTTTTCTGAAAAAGCTWTTTTTTACTTTGTGCTAATTTCAGCTCCTTTTGGCTTCTATTTGGCCAATTTTAGCTTTTTTTTTTTTAACTATTATTCTGACCATTTTTACTTTACTCTACTGTTAAACTTTTTTTTCAGCTGCTTTCTATTTGACCTTTAATGCTTCTTTTAGCTGCTTTCTGATCGTTGAAGCTGTTGCTACTTTTTAGCCAATTTTAGCTAAATTGACCTTTTTTGTAATAATTTCAGATCCTTAGCAAGCATGTTTCTTTGTGCCAATTTCAGCTACCTTTTTAAGCTATTTTAGGCTAGTTTCAGCATTTTTTAGCTAATCAGCACAAATCTTTGAGCATTAAGCATTCACACTGCTTTTTCACAGGAAATGCAAAATTTCTAGTTGCACTTGCATGTATTAATGTGACACCACCTGTGTTATTTATTTATTTATTTTTCTTGTGTTCAGCTGTACAAGAAGATGGCGTCAAGGTGCGTGGATATTTCATGTGGTCACTGATTGACAACTTTGAGTGGGCTGATGGATTCAGCGTTCGCTTCGGCCTGTTCCACGTGGACTTCTCTGATGCCAAGCTGACTCGGACCATACACCGGTCTGGGCAAGAATACGCCAAGTTCATCTCGAAACACCAAAAGTCTGGTGGTCAAACCCAACGAGACGAGCCGCCTGAGTGGAAGGCAGAATGTGACGGTAATGGGAGAAGTTAAGTTGAAGCGTAGTGTTGGTAATAAAAAGCCAAACACTGATCTGTAAATTCTCAGAGAATAAAAAATAAATAAATGAAACCAGCTTGTTTTACTTGTCCCTTTTTGTTAGCTTAGGCAGCTCTCTTGTCTGTTAGCAAAATATCTCATGAACCAAAAACAGATTTTAACAAAACTTTAAAAATCTAATCAATGGATATAACATTAACAACTGATTATATTTTGGAGTCAGCCAAATTCAAGATAGTTGTCACAGCCAGCTGGCATTTGGTAATATAAAAATAGCTATACCTTGGCCAGTTTGACAAAAATGGAGTTGATAATTTTTGTGGTTCTAGTTAAGCATCATTTCTAACATACTTGGAGCACTAAACGTTCTGTGGGATCTTTATTTACAGCTTCAGCAGTAATTGTTGAGGTCAATCCTGTCTGTCTGTTAGCAAAGTATTTCATGAACCAATGGCCAGATACACATGAAAGSTTGCAGAAAACAATCAATGGATGCACTTCTACAACTGATTTGCTTTTGGAGTTACTCAAATTTAAGATGGCCACCACAGCGAATGAGCATTAGCCAACACAAAAATGTCTGYAACACAAACACTTTTCAAGATAAYGAGCTGAGGTTTGGTGTGGTTAAAGCTGAGAATTATTCAGAACACATAGTCCAAGACTAGACCTCTGTTTCTTTTTATTATGAGAGTTTTTGTTTAAAACTCAAATTCTGGGCCTTTAACTGGCCTAACAATGTAACATGCCAAGCCCCGATTGACTGAAAAGGGAAAGGCATTACCAGTTTTATTGATCAACGGGTTCAGATAATGTTTTCTGTGAGATTAGGTGCTATTCTGATAAGAACCGTGCCAGTTTGTAACGTCTCAGGCTGAAGTTCATGTCAGGGAGCAAGATGAGAAGCAGAGGATGAGGATTCTCTTCGTGGGACTACGCCTCCATCTTGTGGCGTACACAGAAAGTACAGTTTTAAATCTAAAGTTTTGACAAACACCTCACACAGTGGTGACCTGGATAAAATGGGGAAACAATAAAGTGGAGCAGCACTCAAACTGCAATACATCAYATATTCAAACACAATATCAATGCTTTGAGGTGAAGGAAAATGTCATCCATATCCTGTGTTGGTGTTGGTGGGGACTTTGTTTGCATTAATAAGCACGCTGTTTCGTGACATCCAGTTGCTTCCTGTTTTCAACAGGCGTGAATAATACCCTCGTGGCCCTCGTCCATCTGTGTCAACACGAGTGAAAATCTCCTTTGTCTTATGATGAATACACAAGCCATTGTGGAAACATGAATAATGCCACTTCTGCTCGTGTCACAGCTTCCCTTTTGCAAACTGATCTGAGCTCCATGTTGAGCCACAGTTTATGAAGTTTATGTAGACTGTTGCCCTGTTCTGATGTGATCAAAAACAAACAAACTAAAAGGAATCGGAACTTGTTGAAGGACTAAACATCACCTGCTGCATTAAAGATTAAGCCAAGTTCTTGTGTGATCTGGTCACACTCATATGTTGTGGATGACTCTCAGCTACTACCACACCAAACTTTAGCTCATTATCTCAAAAACTAAAAGAGTCATCGCAATTTTTGTATTTGCTGATTTCAGTTAGCTGCAGTAGCCACTTTTAATTGAGTTGACACCAAATGTTAATCAGTCGTAGATGTATATTCAGTGATTACTATTTAAGAGTTTCAGTAAAATCCGACCAGTGGTTCATGAAAAATTTTGCTAACAGATAAACACATATCACCTTTCAAGGCAGGCAGGTAAGGGGAAAAAAAAGAAGTATAAATGTATAAAAGTAAGTCAGGGCTGTAAATAAATTCCACATTCTCATGTGATTTCTCTCATATTCGAGTCCAAATCGCAGCTGAAGTAGGTTTGAATCACGTTTCCCTCGATTCATCAGTTCAGCTCCTGGGTGACTGAATCCTCCGCTAAGAGTTGATAAGTAATTCCAGCAACTGTCTCCCAATATTGATGGATTCCATCTCCCATCACCGGGTTAAAAAAAAAATCTACCTATATATGTGGAAGAACCTCCACCGCTTCTGAATTGATTGAATGAAATATGAGCCAGAGGTTACGCTGCACTTAGCCCGTGTTGAAATTAGCCATTTGTAGGCAGCTGAGGAATAATGTGTGCCTATTGCTGCTCAGAGAGCTTAAAACATTAATTAGCATTTAAATAATTCACACTTGGAGTGCCTTTAACAGCCCAAATACGAATGTTCGATTCATTACAGCCCTGTAGAATTCACTCCGATTGGGGCCCCGATGAAGGGGAAAAAACGTCCAAATTCCAATTAAATGTCAAATATATCATGTGTCGACAAGAAATATGTTGCTTTTTGACAACGAATTAGCACGTTTTAATTGTTAACGTTCRATCACTTTCTGCCCTGGAGAACATTGTGGCGAATTACTAAAAAGAGCGCCCATTTGTATTTGACCAAATTTAACTCGTTAGGTTTTGGCAGACAYTATGAAAAGTTAAACAACTGGGAATTCATTTAGACAGAGGGCAAAATTGTGACGATGGTGTGTTTAAAAAAAAAGAATCAATCATCTTTGTGATTTATAGGAAATTGATGATGCTGTATATCAGGTTAAGGGTTTTGTCAAATAATTACCCTTTCTATTTTTTATCTTGCTGCTGAAAGGATGTTGTTTTGTGTGTAAGCAAAAATATTCATGAACCATTGTTTTTTGTCATCCTTCAGTAGAAGGCAAGCTATGATCTACTATGGTCAATGGTATTCCATTGCTAGTGTACCAATGTGGGCACAACTCCTACTATATAGGTTTATGGTACCTTGTATTCTCAGGTAGTTTCCCATCCAAGTAAACATGCCTGACCCTACTTACCATCCAAGATTAGGCACGCTGAGAGTAGTATGAACAATTAGGCAGGTTTTGATTCAACTTTCAGAACGTAATCCCCAAAAAATATCTATAATTCAGCCACTTTTACGATACTTTTATTATTTATTAATGTCCCATTGAAATCAGAGATCTCTTACAAGAGAGGCCTGAAGGCAACCTATTGTACATGCTTTTTGGTTTGTGGGAGAAAACCGGAGTACCCCGAGAAATCCCACGCAAGCATGAGGAAAACATACRAACTCTGCACAGAAAGACCCCAGGTCCAAAACCAGGCTCTTTATGCGGTGAGGCATCAGTGCTGACCACTGAGCCGTTGTGCTGTTATTGAGCTAGATTTTGGTGTGTTAATAATAGAGATGAATTCCCGACACATTCATTTAGCACATTCAGATTGCACAAGATCCTTAATTCAAATTTTGCTAATTGTTATAACTTAGTCAGTTTTCAAGATATTGACTGATACTTTTTGTGTGTGTTTTCAGTTGTTTTGATTTTGTTGTGATTTACTTTTCTTATGAACATATTTTGGGTATAAAAAAGGGGCAGATATTATAAGATTTATTCTTCTGCT